CAAATTCATGTCATCATCTGTCTATAACTGCACTGTTTTCTTTAGAAATGGCTTTTGAATTGTTTCTGGAAGTAGGTGAAACTGAATGTTTGAAAACTGGCCATAAAGTCCCCATACAACTTTAGCTGTCCATCGTTAACTCTGTCTCACCCAGAACGTCATAAAGTTGGATTAACACAACAGGACTGTGGCATTAAAAATAAGTCATATCGTTGAGATAAAGCTTGTATAGGACTTAAATTTTTTGCATCAGAAAGTGATGCATGTTCTTCCGTGCTGTCATATTGCCATCCCCTCTCAATATGCACCCATGGTCTCCTGAAAATTCCTCATGATCAGTTGATTAAGAGAGAGGAAACCCATTCCTGGTTTGCAGATCATTCAGCATGGTAAGAGATACAACTGGAAAGTGGAGAACAAAGGCATTGCATCCCCTTTCAGGGACCTCCTGAAGGGCAGTGGTGAAGAGAAATCCTGAGCAACATTAGAGTAGAGCTCCCAGCACTCCATTTTGCCATGATGGAAAAATAAGTACTTTTCTCTTGAGGAAGGTGTTGTGGCCAATGGTTTGGCTGGATAGTGAAGGACTTGGAAGGAACATGATTGAAAATTTTCTGATGAAGAGGTATTTAAAATATATAGGTTGTTAGATCATCATGAATGGACAAAATATTTCAAATATCTGTGTCTCTTGTGAATATTCACTAAAGGGAAACCTCAGCAGAGGAGGATTGTAACAATCAAGTGGAAAGTGTGACATGTGGAAAATAGTTATCCTAGTTCCTAGGCACTCTCGTGAATACCCAATGGGCTAAAGAAAGAAGTAGCCATGGTGGTAGAGATCAACATTATGCAAAGTTTGTTTAACAACAAAGACCATTCACAAAGACCAAATAGGATACAACAATTACTGAGGGTTAATCTGCCAGGTTCTGCTCAGAAACCCACCATATTGCCTTCTGACACTTGGAGCCATCAAAGCATAACATCTGACATGCCAATCTTGGACTCATCCACCTTTGCATCCACCAGCCATGGTCTTACCTGCTTCATTTGCCTTATTCTTTTCCTGCTGCCTGATTAATCAGCCCCAGCTGTTTAAAATGCCTCCGACTTAAGGTTGGGTTTATGGATTTGAGTAGATCTGAACTTTCCCATTAGTATAATTATGTAAACCGCTTCTTTATGCAAACACCTTCCTCAATATACACACACACATATATCTGAAAGTAAAACAGCCTAACACATCTGGCATATTAAAGCATGTGATTGTCTGACTCAAAATGATTGATACTAGTCCATTTCATTTTATCTATGCCTAGAATATCAATCTTCATTCATTCCATTTCATTTTTAATGACTTCAATTTTCTTAGATTCATACCTTATACAGTTCATGTTCTGGTTATTACTAGATGCTTTCAGCTGTTTTCTTTTTTTCATTTGAGTTGTGCTCCATCAACGAAAATCTTTATTACAGGGTGAAAGCTTTAACACTTTAAAAATATTAATACAATTCACAGTGATCTAGAATTAAAATGTGGTACGCATACAAATTCCATCAACGTGTAATGAAATGGATTGGCACAATTGCTGCAACCATGGGCTCAGGCAAGGTATAATTGGAAGGATGGCACAGGACTACACATTGTTTTGTGGTACAAAGGAGCCCTATGGTTCAGAATTTACACAATGACACCTAAAAATAAGAACAACAACATGAAAAGCAAAGTAATCCCAGATAAACAAAGTACTTCTGAAGAAGAACCAGAAAGAGAAATTTCATGATAACTGATCTCAAATCATAGTACCAGGCACAGAAGCAAAATATCTAAACAAAGATACTGGTTCAAAGACAGACACATAAACCAATGAAACAGAATTGATAACTTAGACATAAATCCATCCATCTACGCAGTTGGTTTCTGAAAGAAGGCCATACCCAACAAATAATGCAGAAACAGTCTCTTTAGCAAATCAACAAATATTTATGAAACCACTACTATAAAATTTTCAAAAAGAAGATCTATATGCAGAATGAAACATCTTTCATGGCTACCATGGTTGAAAATGGGGAGTGGTAATCAATAACTAGGTGGTAAATAGTAACTCATTTAGGTAGTAGGAAGTATAATAATGAGGTAATCAACACAATGCCACTTAGGCTAAGGAAGGCACTGAGGAATGCATAAAAATTACAGACAATAAGGTAAATACTAAAACACACAAAATCCTGCAATGTAAGGAATAACAAACAATAATCAATCAGTTTTATGCAATGTGAGGAATCAATATCATGAATCACTTTAACACCAACCAAAAAAGCTAGCGATGAAGAAATCAAAGAATTCTGCCAATGATTTAAGTCAGAATTGATCAAACATGCAATTGAGATGAATTGATAGTTATTGGTGATTGGAATGCAGACGTTGGAAACAAAGAGGAAGGAAAAGTAGTTAGAAAACATGGAATTGGTGATAGATGTGAAGTTGGAGACTGCATGATAAAATTTTGCAAAACCAACGGCTTTTCATCACTAATACCTTTTTCAACAGTGCACATGGACTTCCTTAGATGGAAGAAGCAAAAGTCAAGTTAACTATATCTGTGGGAAGACATGATGTGGAAGCTCAATATCAGCACTTAAAAACACATGGTTTTATAATCCTCCCACAGCTTATCAGATCTTCTGTCATTAGTGTTCAATGTGGCCAATGTGTCCTAGAGATGTTCTTCAAATTCACTGTCTTTTGGTTTAGTTCCATTGGGGAGCTAAAACATTACCACATATTTTGAGTCCAGCTCTATCTTACTATGTCTCATCTATAATTGCTGGTCTTCGATGACCTTACAATGCCAACTTGTCCCAAGTTTATCTCAAAATATCAAAGAACTACAGATTTCCAAAGTCTCTGTACATGTAGAAACACCGGCAAACTAAATCAACCAAACACTGAAAAGATCCCATTAGAAGGTCCTGGGTTGAGTGGTTAAAAAAATGTGGGAAAATTCAAAATCATAAAAGATGGAGACAGGTGGGACCCCTGATACTATAATCCTTAGGCATCCATCAGATCTGGAACTGAACTCCACCCTGTGGTAGAATAGCCAATCACTTAAGGTCAAAAGGGGAGCATTTACCCAACAGCAAAGATCAGAGGGTGAGGAAAGAGGGAGAAATGGAAACAGGAAAGATTGTGAGAAAGCAGAATTAGTGATGGGACATTTAGCGCATTGCAATGGATGAGATAAACAAAATATGTATATATTGTTGAATTTAAGACTAGCATACCTCCACTTAATTCAAAACAAAAAGGTTAAAAAGAAAGAAAAATTACATATTACAATTCCAAACCAGAGCCTCTCAGGTATAAAGAAACAGGTATGCTAAATTTATGTTAGCTAGAAAAGTGGTAGGTTTGGAGTTCTAAAACTCAAAAGAGAGAGAGAGAGAAGCAGAATTGTTTAACTTAACTATAGCTAGAATTTATCAGTGAATTTATTAAATATACTTAATAAACAGTATTGATTCAAACTCAAAAGAGTCAACAAGTTTTAAAAGAAGCATTGCTGGATTTGCATTTTAATGGCTATGTGAATGTAAATGCATATTACAAATATCCAAAAAAGAAAATAGGTTTCCATACCTAACGTTGAATTTGGTTTTCCCACAACTATTGATTCTATAGAGATATATTTTATTGTACCTAAAAGAAAAGACTGAAATCAATCCAAAGGATGGTAGATCCATATGTTCAGCATATATGATAGATAGCATATATGTGCAGAAATAGGTGAAAGATGGCAAATGGCATGTGGTTGATCTACTCAACTCACTGCCGTAGAGTCGATGCCAAGTCATAGTGACTTATTGGACTGCTCTTGTGAAATTCTAAGACTGTAGCTCCTTATAGGATTAGAAAGTTCTGTCTTTCTCCTGTGGAGCAGCTGGTGGTTTCGAACTGCTTGTCTCCTGGTTAGCAGGCAAACGCTAAACTTCCACACCACCAGAGTTCCTGTTAGTTGGTCTATGAGGACTAGGGAATCAACAATATTTACTGCTCTGGGATAAGAATAACAAAAAGGTATTGAGTTAATGAGGAGCTTTGGATATTGATCCTCCAGGGACCCAGAGACTGAAAATAGTCTGCCTGTGCTGTTGCACTTAAAGAGTATGTCTCCTGTAAAGAGATAGAATACGTCCCAGAGATGATCTTTTTTGCCACAGAGCCTAGTGTTTTACACAGACTCTCTATCTTGCTTGAGTACAGGCCTTTAATTTTCTACATACAAAGCAGATGTCAAGCATCATTCCATGGAGATGCCAGCCAGGTAACCTAAAGTCACCAAGGAAAAAGAAGAGCAGGTGTTTTGATAGTTACATCCAAGAGAATAATGAATAGAGTGCATGCAGGTTAACAATGGAGCTGTGTCTACCATGGGGATATTTTTGTCTATTTTCTTGTCACATTATATCTCTACATGAACATCAAATAATTAATTTTGTTCTCTTGCTTTACCTTAAAAAAAAAGAGAGTTTTCTAGTTGAGCAACTACCTAAGCCTTGTCAAACACGAGGCATGTTGCTAAATTCTCTGACATTTCCTGGCATTGTGTCGTCTTGGTTTTGGAAGAGGGCTGCTTGTCAAATTCATCTTATCTATGTGGTTCTGAGTACATCTTCGTATTTTCTATAATACATGGCACTGACCACTGTGGGTGATGATGGAATGATGTGGAGTCTCAGATAGACTCCTCAGGCAGATTCTCAAGTTTTTTTTTATTTTTAAAATTACCAAATATTTGAAATAAACATACAAGCACAGATTATGTAACAATAATTTTAAGTCATCAGCTTTTTCTAAATAAATGTTGACACCTGCATTATAAGTTTCAGTTCTTTTATCCATTCAAAAATAATAAAATAATGTGCACATAGAAGGTAGGCTGGCTTTTTTGGTGGGGGGTCTTCTCTTCTATTAATTTTTTCCCCTCAAGATAATGTCTGTCTCTGGTGGATCTTTTGCTGTACTGTGTGTTCTGGGCACCAAACATTTTCATCTATTGGTCTTGTCACCATGTCTTCCCATCAGATTCATCAACAGTATAGAATTCAAAAACCAAACAGATGTTTCCAAATTCCTTCTACTGGGACTAACAGAGGATCCGGAATTGCAGCTCCTTGTATTTAGCCTGTTCCTGATCATGTACCTGGTCACTGTTCTTGGAAATCTGCTCATTGTCCTGGCTGTCACCTCTGACTCTCATCTACATACCCCCATGTACTTCTTTCTCTGCAATCTGTCCTTGAATGACATCTGTTTAAGCACAGCTACCATTCCAAAGATGCTGGTGAACATCCAGACACACAATCAGAGCATCACTTTTACAGGCTGCCTCAACCAGATTTTTTTTGTCCTCGTTTTTGGGTTTTTGGAAAACTTTATTCTTGGAGCAATGGCCTATGACCGCTATGTGGCCATTTGTTACCCACTGAGGTACAACATCATCATGAATCCCTGCTTCTGTGGCATGGTGATCCTCCTTTCCTTGCTCATTAGTATGATGGTTGCCTTGCTCCAGAGTTTGATGGTTTTTCACCTGTCTTTTTGCACAAGCCTGGAAATTCCTCAGTTCTTCTGTGAGCTTGCTCAGGTCCTCAGACTCTCCTGTTCCAGTACTCTTATTAATAACATCCTAATATACTTTGGAGCTTGCCTACTGGGTGGTATTCCTCTGTCTGGAATCATATTCTCTTACACTCAGATTGTCTCCTTGGTTCTGAAGATACCATCAGGTGATGGAAAGTATAAAGCTTTTTCCACCTGTGGTTCTCACCTCTCAGTTGTTTGTTTATACTATGGGACAGGTGTTGGTGTGTACATCAGCTCTGTGTTTGCACAGTCTGCCAGAAAGATAACCGTAGCCTCAGTGATGTACATTGTGGTTCCTCAAATGATTAATCCTTTTATCTACAGCCTGAGGAACAATGACATAAAGGTAAGTTTGAGAAAACTCTTTGGTAGGACACCTTCCATGTAGTGCCTATCATCCTTGCCAACTCACTAATTATCTTGAACTGCCACAGGTAAACCCTCCTTGACTGTCAGCATCGACATCAACCACACTCAGTTTCCTTATCTATGAATTGGCATAGTTATATTTTCTTAGTGATTTTAAGGTATTTCAACATCTTCAGTGAAGATGCTTTTGGTGCTAATACTTAAAAGCATCTCAGACACTAATCTGCTCAAATAATAAACAGCTTATATTTTATTGGATGGCTTTAGAATTAATCGAACTGTAGACATGAATGTAGTAGCTTCATCTTCGGTTTGGTTTTCATCGTGGTCTCCCGACTGTTGTTGCAGATGCAGATGTAATACAACTTATGAGAGTCACAGAGAAAAAATTTACTGTCTTGCTGAAGCTTATCGCTAATAAACATTTTGACTGTGTGATCAGGAGATATGCCTCTTGTACATGTTAGCTTCCCCTATGCCATTTCCACATCATAATTTTTGGAACCTATAAATGTTACTGATGTGATAAAAGACGAATGTTGCCAAAAGACGAATGTTACTGAATAACCTCTTTGCAGAGATTAGTCAATGTGGGGAGGGTTTGAGGTAAGTGTTGTTAAACTGAGGACTGAAGCAAGACATGCAAGAACTATTGCATGGAATTTGAATTTTCTTTATAAACCTTCACCCGATTCTCAATAAAAAAGGATTAATTTTGGTTGTTTTTGTTTTATAAAGACTGTGCACGATAGAGTTTGAGAGGTTATTTTTAGGACTACCCCTGGAGGACAGGCACACCAGGTATCAACTAGTGTTGAGCCAACTTCACTGAGGTCCACAGAACTTTTTCATGTGGCAGGTTCCTGGACCTCTGCCTACTACTATTTAAAAATCTTTGGAATACATCTATTATGGAAAAAAGAAGAAAAGTCCGTTTCTATTTAATGAATTCTGACTCATGGCAGACAAATCTTTATCGAATTTCTGGGACTGCAAAACTTTACAGAAAGAGATGTCCACCCATGGAACTACTGGTTGGCTTGAACTGCAGACCTTGCGATTAGCAGTGGACCTCTCACAATCACAATGTGTTAACTATGGTATGGTCATATTTTAATAAGGTTTTTTTCTGAGATCCTGATGTACTCAAGTGTGAGAATCACATAGTATGATATTAGGTATTAATAAAATGTTATGACTTTGGACTTTTGTGACTAGCTCCTTTTATTTAGCATAATATTTTCAAAGTCCATGGATATTATGGCATATACTAGTATTTTGTTTCTTTTGGCAGTGAAATAATATACGGTTAAAATAAAACATTTTGTTTATTCTTTATCTGTTGATTGTAATTTGAGAAATTTTGACAAATATCTCTCTACAAGATGTTTTGTGCACATATGTTTTCATATCACTTGGGTATAACTCTAATAGATTGCTGTGACAATAGGTGACTTACTATTAACCCTTTGAGAAACTGCCAGATTATTTTCCAAAGTTATTGCCGCAGTTTGTATTCCCACAGGCATTATATAAAGTTTCCAACTTCTTTGAAATCTATCCAACACTCATTATTTTGACTTATTATTTAAATCCTCTAGGTCATGCAAGTGGGGGATGCATGAATACTAACAAAATGGTTAGTGGTTCAAACTGTCATAGTTGCAGAATGGAAGAAAGAATCAGTGATCTGCTTCCATAAATATAATTCTTATTGTTATTCTTGTTAGATACCATTCAGTTGGTCTGATTCACAGAAACCCTACGTATAACAGCATGAAATAATATCTGTTTCTGTGCCACCCTCACAACTATATTTGAGCCCATTGTTGAAGCCAATTTGTAAATACTTCTTGATGAGGGTTATAGTAGTTACATCTGTGTCAACTAGGCACACCTGGCAGGAGTTGAGTCAGACCTGTCAATTAGGTCACAGCCTGATGATGTCTCCTTGGAGGCATGGCGCTCTCATAAGGAGGACCCTCTTTCCCCACTCACCCTCTTGCTTGCTGGCCACACTGAGAGCTGTCAGAGCCCTGTTATGTTCCCACTGACCCAGAATCCACATGACTCTGCACCCGTAGACCTGTGATCTTCCTGCATTCTACATCACTGTGTGTGGTTGCATGAGTCTGAAGAAGGACTTACATGGGCTAGTATCAGTCTTATGGATTTGGGTTGGACTGGGATGGGATGACTTGTTGACCTATAATTGTTTCTTTATATAAAGCTCTTTCTCATACATATATGAATGTTCTGGGTTTGTTTCTCTAGTCAACCCAGTCTAACATAATGGGTAATCTGAATTAATAAGTGTCACAAAAATATAATTCATGAGGAAAAAGAGAGCAAGTGGAAAATGATAATGGATTAGTAATGGAAAAGGAGGGACAAAAGAGTGATGTGTCTTCACTGATAAGATTCTATTAATATGGCAGTAAGAACGATGGCATTTATGGGCACTCAAGGGGAGGTGGGGGTGGAGGGGATGCTGTCATTTTAGTTAGTGTTCCAGAACTACAGGCCTGCTGAGTTTTGTCTGTGGGGGAAATTTATTCATAGTCTCAGGAGGGTGGAGTTGCATGGGAGTGGACACCAGAAGAAGAAGTAGAAGAGATTTCAAAAATGTATTATGATGAAACAAAAGAACAAAAACTGAATAAAATACAGAAGAGTAAGAAATAAAACCACCTTGTGGGTAGGAATTCTCACTCCTTTGGTATTGTTCTTATGTGGGGAAGGTGGGGCACATGGGCTGGGAGGACACCAAAGAGTAAAACAGGAAAGAAGGAAGAAGAGGTTGGAAAGGAAACATGGGTACAAACTATGTCTTCATCAAGTGCATTCGGGTTGTATCCTCTCACCATATTTTATCAATCTTTAGGCTAAGCAAATCATCAGAGAAACAGGATTACGTAAAGAAGAATACGGCATCAGGATTGGAGGAAGGCTTACTGATCACCAGCAATATAGAGATGAGACTACCTTACTTGGTGAAAGTGAAGAGCACATGAAACACTCATAAGGATCAAGAATTGCAGCCTCCAGTATGGAATATAACTCAATGTAAGAAGACCAAGAACTCCTCAACTGGACTAATAGGTAGAAGCATTGTAAATGGAGAAAAGGTTGAAGTTGTCATGGGTTTTGTCTTTCTTGGATTCACAATCAATGCTTTTGGAAGCAGCAGGCAAGAGATCAAAAGATGTGTTGCATTAGGTAAATCTACACAAGACGTTTTTAGAGGATTAAACAAGGATGTTACTTTCAGAACTAAAGTGTTTCAGACATAAGCCATGATATTTTTCATTGGCTCATATACACGAGAAAGTTGGGTATTGACTAAGGAAGACAGTAGATGAATAGCATTTGATTTGTGGTGCTGGAGAAGAATATTGAAAGTACCAGGGACTGTGAAAAAGACAAATCAATCTGTCTTGGAAGAAGTAAGGTTAGAATGCTCCTTAGAGGCAAGGATGGCAAGATTTCATCTTACATGTTTTGGACATTTTGGAAGAGACCAGTCCCTGGAGAAGGACATAACATTTGTGGTAAAGTGGAGGGACAGCAAAAAAAAAAAAGGACCTCAATTAGATGGATTGACACAATGGCTGCAACAATGGGTTCAGGCATAGAACCAATTGTGAGGATGACAGAGGACCATTTTTTTCATTCTCTTGCGTGTAAGGTTGCTGTGTGTGTCAGAGCTGACTCGATGGTACATAACGACAACAATAGTATACCCAAGCAATCTAATATCCACAGACCCCAGAGGCCTGTGAGGTTAGAGATTTGGCTAGCGTGGTGGCCTCAGGGAGTGGGGTAAATCAGCATTGCAAGAGAGGAGTGAAGCTCACAGAACTGGCTGGTGTAGCTGGTAGGTAGTAAAGGGAAGTCTGAAAGCAATAGTTGCTGCTCTGAAATATTAAGTAACTTGGGTCTACTTGAGTTTTAAAGCTGAGTTTTTTGCTGCCAGGAAGTTCAGGATACCCTTCCTAGTGGATCCTCTCAGGTGGTTGCAGAAGAGACCTTCCCATGCTTCTTACCTGGTGGCCATATTTCCTGAGATTCTCAAGGATCATCCTCAGCTATTTTCTTGACAGATCAGTTTGTTCTTCTGACAGTATGTTCAATATTCCTTGCCAACCCAATAATCCAAATACATAGATTCTTCTGCGCTTTTCTTATCCATTTTCCAATTTTCAAGTGCATAAGAGAAAATAGAAAATGGCATGGTTTCAGTTGGGCATACCTTAATTCTCAAAGTTATATCGTTGTCCTTCACCCTTTTATAGAGACCTCGTAGAGCAGATTTGCCCAACACAAAACATCAATTGATTTCTTAATGGCTGCTTCTGTGAACATTGATGATGGATCCATATTATATTCTTGCTGATGTTGTTGGGTGCCTTCAAGTTGATTCCAACTGATAATGACCCTTTTTCCAAGAGAATGAAACACTGTCCAGTCCTGTGCCATCCTCACAGTTGTAGTTATACTTAAACCCATTGTTTCAGCCATCGTGTCCATTTATCTCTTTGCGGACCTTCTTCATTTTCTATGTCCCTCTACTTTAACAAGCATGATGTCCTTCTCCAGAGACTGGTCTGTCCTCACAACATGTTCTAAGTTTGTGACACAGAGTCTTGCCATCCTTGCCGCTATTGAACATTCTGTCTATACTTCTTTGAAGACAGACTTATTTGCTCTTTTGGCAGTCCATGGTAATTTCAATATTCTTCTATGGTACCATGATTCAAATGACTTAATTCTTCAGTTTTCCATAAGCAATATCTAACTTTTACCGGCATATGAGACAATTGAAAAGACCATTGCTTGGGTCAGGCACACCTTAGTCCTCAAAATAACATTCTTGCTGTTCAACACTCTAAAGAGGTCTGTGTAGCAGATTTACACAATTTGATGCACTGTTTGATCTCTTGGTTGTGATACACAGATTGTGGCTATTACAGGATCGAATTACAGATCACCAAGATTGTGTGTTTGTCTGTTTACCCT